TCTGTTTAAAACAAAACAAAACAAACCCTCCGCTTCCACAGGGCTAAAGTATTTGTAACCTCAAGTTTTATGGGATTAACACTACTCTCATCCCCAGATCTTTTGATGTGCCTCATAATGTCACAATGCCAAGCCAGCAGGGGCGTTGTGACCAAGACTCACTGAAAGCTGTGTTGCTGGGTGGTGGTGTATTCCTTTAATCCCAGCAGAGGCAGAGGTGGAGGTGGGGGGGGGGGAGGATCTCTGTGAGTTCGAGGCCAGCCTGGTCTACAAGAGCTATTTCCAGGACAGGCTCCAAAGCTACAGAGAATCCCTCTTGGGAAAAAAAAAAAAAAAAAAGAAGAAGAAGCTGTGTCTACAAAGACTAATTGGCTGAATAGAACTGTTGTCATGTGGAGACCTTGGAATGTTGCAGTTCCAGGGCCTGATGATCTTGGGGTATCTTTACCCTCCTAAAGATACATTCATTGCCCTCCTCTGTATCTGATCCAATATCTGCTGTCATAAATCCTTTAGCATGTATAAGCAAACCTTGCCTTAGTTTGCTGTTACTGTGATAAAAAATCATGACCAAAAGCAACTTCGAGAGGAAAGAGTTTATGGGTTACAAGTCTGTTGAGCCAAGGCAAGAATTTGAGGCAGGGGCTGAAGCAGAGACCATGAAGGAAGGCCACTTACTGCCTTACTTCCTGTAGCTTGCTCAGCCAGCTTTCTTATACAGCTCAGGTTAACCTGCCCTGGTGGAACTGCCCTCAGTGGGCTGGCTCCTCCCACATCAGTCACTGATGAAGAAAATGCCCACAGACCTGCCTACAATCTGGTGAAGACATCTCACTTGAGGTTCCTCTTCCCAGTTGACTCTAGCTTGTGTCAAGTTGAACAGAAAATTAACCCAGAGAGACTGCTTCTTTCCACAAGGCAAAAGGATAGAAACACTGTCAACAACTAAAGCCCATGGCAGAGTTCTCCACGCTGTGCTGCGACCCAACTTCCTGATGGGCCCACCAATATGTTTGAATAGTGCCTTGGCTTGCAACTGTTCTTATAAAAACTTTAAACTGCTACCACACTGGAACACGGACCTTGTGGTGTCCTTAATCTGTGTTCTTGGGCCATGGTCACTCATTTTTGGCTTCAGAAAAAGTCATCTTGTATCCCTTTTGAGTGAGATCAATATTTTTCACACTGGCATTCATTAACCAGAAAAAAAAAAAAGGTAAAGTGGCATACATAATTTTCCTGAATGTTTTAAACCTTATAGGGGTTGCATCCTACACGAAGTGACTGCATATTGCATGTAACCGTGCCTTTCATGTTCAGCTTTGCCCTGAGTGACTCCATTTTGCCACGGTGCCTGGCTCCATGTAGAGCGATAATGTGGATGAAGGAAGACTCTGTGTGGTACCATGTGCATAGGTACCACTTGTGAGGCACAGGCTGAGAAGTAACTTATTCTAGGAGTTAAGAAAGAACCTCTGTAAATTTATCAAAGTCATTTAGGAACATAGGTGCATATGGCATATCAGAAAGACCAGAACCAAGGATTTCCAGAACACACCTGACTGAGCAAGGGTGCAGCATCCCACGTGAGGGTCTGCTACGGTGTGATGGTGATGGTCCCTTGGACCTGTCAAATGACCATTTGCTGTGTGCATCAAGGGACAGAAGGATAGAGAACCCCCCACTGTCTCCGGGGCTCTAGCTCAGCTTGTCTCCACTGCTCATTGTCTGTCTGTCTGTCTGTCCATCTGCCCACTCACCCAGACCTCACCTCCCTCTGCAGAGTTGAAGTCCTGTCCCCTGCATCTATAGCTCTACTCTGTGACCTTGTGACCCTGTGACCCTGCAGCCCCACTCTGCCCTTTGAGGAACTCTCCAGCTGGGTCGCTGTAGCTGCCTCTGTCTCCAATTAGGCATCCTTGAAACCCTTACTCCCTCTGCAGTCACTCTGAAGCCTATAAACATATAGAGCATAATTCATTTGTGATGTGTGAGCTGGGGTTCAGCTCAAGGGTAGAGCCTAGCAAGTACAAGGCCCTGGGTTCCCTCCTCAACTCCAAACAAACAGAAGCCAAACAAACAAACACCATAAAATTAGAAAAGAAAAACCTGTGTTTGCCAAGAGTCAGCTCAGAAGGGAAGTCTGGAGTAAGGAAGGGGTAGATTGTAACCAAGGAAATCGATGCAGTTTGTGAACCCAGTTAGGTCTCAAAGAAACTCAGGACGAAGGACTGAGATGCCCATTTAACCTATCAAAGCAGTCTCTGGCCCCAGGTGCTCTCAGCATCTCAAGTACCTGTTACAGAGTCCTGGCTGTTCTCAGCACTCCTCAACTCCACCCCCATCACCACCACCACCCGGTGCCCTACCCTAAATTTCTCCAGCACCTGAGCAAACTTTGTTTCCTTTCCCCAGCTTCTCTTTCCGACCTAACAGCCATTTTGGCCCCAGGCTGTCTTGGCTCCACTCCTTGATCCTCAGGGCCTGCTTGCCATCTCTTCTCTCTCTCTCTCTCTCTCTCTCTCTCTCTCTCTCTCTCTCTCTCTCTCTCTCTCTCTCTCTCTTTCTCGTTTTTCGAGACAGGGTTCCTCCATGACTTGGTATATTCTGCTGGCCCTGTTCAGTCTGGACTCTTCTAGATTCCTCTAGCTGTTCTCGCCCTCGTGTCCACAATAAAAACCTTCCCTTCAACCATACCTAGCCTTGGCTGCGTCATCATTTTCATTCAAAGTCTGACCCTGAAGAAAGACCTAAACATCTCTATGTTGCTGGCATAGTGTGCTCATGCCTGTTTACATTCTAAGGCTTGCTTAATTTTTAAAACATGTTGTGCATTATATCATTTGAAGAACATAACTTAGCCAGAGGGTCACCACATATACAGTTATTGTAACGTGTGAGTATCTTTCTCAAGAAACCCACACCTATAGCTTTGATGGGTACTATAATCTCTCTACCTTTCCTCTTCCCCTCCCTTCCTCCCTTCCCTCCCCCTCCCATTCCTTCTACATACGGAAATCTCTCTTCAATCTTAAAAGCTTTCCTTGCCTCATCCTAAAATTCTTGTCTGTGGTATAGTCCAGCTTTACTGTCCAAGGGGGGGGGGAGAAGACCTTGGGCTGGGGGTGGCAGTGTTGAGCTGTCTCTGTTGTCCCTGAGAGGAGCTACTCTGGAAGTGTAGGACACAGTCAGGGACACAAGGCTTCCCCCTTGAAGACCACAGCTGCTCCTTCTGACTGCTCGGGCACGCACCAGCACGCCCCAATTAACTTCACAGTTTTACTGACTTATCCCACCCCAGCCTGATTTTTCTCTAAAGCTTTATTTTTCCTGGCTTTGTATCCCAGGAGGCCAGTGACCAGTGGAGAGACTCATCAAAACTGTGAGTTGGAGAGGGGCCAGGCTGGAGGGATGCTCAGGGCCGGCCTGTCAGTTAGGTGTGTCTCCATCGGTTGGGTCTTTGCTGTCTACACACCCAGGGAAGTGGCAGCTCCATGCCCCACAGGTGCTTGTTAAAGGCATGATAACCCAGATTCACTATCACCTGTGAGGTTCCCCTCCTCCCCCTGGTACCTTGCATCCACACTTCCTTGGTCTCTTCTTAACTTCCAGCTTTGTCTATCTACAGTCCCTCCCCACAAATCTCAAGAAGTCATAGACATTAAAATAGAAATGCCTTTCCAAACATGGGGTCCCAGGTCTGTAATCCCAGAAATCGGGAGACTGGGACTCAAGGAACATGATTTGGAGGACAGCCCGAGACTTTCCGCATCCCTCACCATCCCTTGTGCTTATCCCTCATTCTGTAGATGCCTTGACCCAGGCACTCCCAGGATGCTGAGTCTTGTTTTTTTGCTTGTATATAGCTCATACTCCTCCACCGCAGGGAGGGGTTAACTCAGAACAAGAAACCCATTTCCAATGTGTGGATGTCCAGCTGTTAATAACACACACACAGGTTCCGTCTCACAATGTGGGCTACAAACGTGTCTGTAATACATACCACAGCACATCTGTCCCCCCATCCCTGGGCTGTAGAGAGAGAGTTGGAGAGAACGGCTGCTGTCACCAGGATCTTCAGATTGATCACCCAGAACTCCTGGTCCACAGGTAGCAGTGGTTCGCTGGTTGAGTTTTGTTTCTTGGCTCCTTTCCCTCCTTCCTCTGCCTTCTTCCTCCACTTCCTCTCTTTCCCTTCCTTCCTACATTCCTTTGATCCTTCCTTCTCTCTTTCTTGATTTATGTACTCTGACCCTCTTTTCCCAGGGTCTTTCTCTGTAGACTGTCCCTCTTCCCAGTGCTGTGCGGCCACCAGGCAAGGGGATTGTTTTTGTTTTTGCCACAAACAAAGCGCTCTCGCTATGTGCCTTTCATGAGAACTGAGATCTGATCTCTTCTGCTGTTATTCTTGATTCACATGGCAGCCCTGCTGCCCTGCAGCCCACAGTTCTCCTCACATGCCTGACTCCCAAACACTGGGGTTACAGAGAGGCCCCACTGTCTTCCTGCACCCCGGATCCACCCCTGATCTCTACACCTGCTACACCCCCATCCAGTGCTACAGATTGAGTCTGAAACCCTGTACATGCATTCGAGGCACTGAGCTGCGTCCCAAGCTTGATATGATTGAAAACATTGTTAGGAATATTTGCTCATCAATGTGCTAGACTTTGGTGGCTTCTCATGGAAAACCTTATCTTCTCTGAGGAGTGGATGGGGGTAGGGTGGGGGCAAGGTGGAGGGAGCAGGAATTGGGATTGGTATGTAAAATGAGAAAAGATAGTTTTAAAAAAACAAATTAATTAAAAATATTTGCTTATTTGGAGGGTGGGAGACACATGCTTACCTATATATAACATATGTAAATACATACATACACATAGATGTGTATACACACACACACACACACACATATATATATATATATATCCACATGCCACAGCACCTGTGTCGAGGACAAAGGACAATGTGTAGGAATCAGTTTTCTCTTTCCATCCTGTAGATTCTGGGGACCAAGCCCAGGCCATCAGGGTCAGCAGCAGGTGCCATTACCTGCTAAGCCATCTTCCAGGCCCCATCGTCTCAGCTTTAAGGAAAGACATGCTACAGAGAAGAAAAAGGGAGTACAAGTGGGGTCATTTTATTTTTTCACAACATAGGATGTAGGGCAGAGAAGGGCTCATCAGAGTTGGAGAGCAGGGAGAATTCTGGAAGGCTCCAGGGCCCTGGGGACGCCTGCAGCACTGTGGGAGCTGAAGCCCCTCCTGGTGACAGTGACACCTAGGTCCAGGTGACACTCAGATGCACTTTTGAAACCTCTTTTCATTTGTGAGCTTGGTTCTCAGGTATTGTCATCAACTGTCACCTTCGCACTTGGTACTGAGCTGTTACATGAAGCATTCTGAGGCTTTTTATGTTCCCGCTGGCTATGATTATTCGAAAACAAGCACTGGTTTGTTTTCAGTGTGGTGCCGACAGGAGTAAGTCCTGAGAAGAAAACATCCCGCCCAGGAGTAGAAGGATTTCGCGTGTGGTAAACTGAGCTGTAGTTTCTCAAGGATCACTTGGCCTTTCCTGCTCATAGAAGCAAGGATAAACTGTTCCCCCTGCTCAGGGGGTCTGGCTGGCCCTGACCCCTGTCCTGCTCCAGCCTGGAGTCCCAGGCTAAGGCATTTCAGCAGGATCTCAGCAAGTGCCGCAGGCTCTGCAGGGCTTCCTGTAGCCCCTGGCCCGTGAGAGCACTGCAGGCCCGGAGCTCCCAGCAACGGTCTTGGTACCTTTCCAGGCCCAGCCTGTTTCTGATTTCAAGCAATGGAAGAGCATCAGGCGCCTCCTGCTTGTTGGCCAGTACCAAGAAAGGGACGCCGGCCATGTTGGGGTCTTCCAGGACTTCCTGGAGCTCAGCCACTGCCTCAGGCAAGCGGGCTTCATCGGTGCTGTCTAGCACATACACAAGGATGTCAATGCCTTCCAGGTAGTCCTTCCAGGTAGCCCTGAGCTGCGGCTGTCCCCCGATGTCCCAGAGAATCAGTGACACACGTCCAGGAGATTCAAGGGGCTCCACATTGAAGCCCACAGTGGGTGAGGTCTCCACCAGAGGATTGCCTTTTAGTTTGTACAGGATCATGGTCTTGCCAGCAGAGTCGAGACCCATCATTATCACCTGGGCTTCTGCCTTGTGACCTCTGGAATTCACAGAGCCCATGGTGGCCTCTAATACATCCAACTGCAGAGAGCCTGGGGGCGCGCATCTGCTATTCTTTCTTCCTGAAGAAAGGCGAACCCATGCAGACGACACGCTGAGCATCTACCCTAGAACGAAAGAAGTCGTTTCAGGGAAGGCGTTCAGACCCAGGCCGGGCCTTTGAAAGGTCCAGGAAGTGAGGAAGTGTGAGTCTCTGATCTCTGGCGCCGCTGAAGGACTGTCGGAAGATACAGAACTCAGGTGTCCTTCCTAGGTAGTTAGAGCAGAGGCGAGAGGAAGCTGCTGTCAGACCCTGGTCAGTGGAGGAGGCAGAAACTGTTCTCAGTTTGCACCGTCTGAGGCCTTTGGCCCTTCTAGGTTCCTCCCTAGACCCAGAAGTGGCAGCACACTGCATTCCAGACAGAGTAGAGAAGCCGGGTCGCCGAGTGCTGACTTCTTGGAACTCCTCCCAGGCCCAGCACACTGGCCTCTCCAACATCTATTGACAAACTCTGCTGACTCAGGCGAATTTGAGTCCGAGCCAGGACGTTTTCCACACCATCTAAAAGGTCTCTAGAACACCCCACGTGGTTTTTAAGAAACCCTAGTCTTTAAGGCCTACGGACTGTCTACAGTTTAGGAAGAACTTGGGGGAGGGAAGAGGGAGGACACAGCACTCCTGGGAGTCCGCATTAAGGGCCCTTTTTCACTCCTGCGCGGGCAGGAGAGCAGGCCCTGAAGTTACCTCTGTGGTGAGCCTGGTCTGTGGCAGGTGTCCCTCCGCCAAGGCACTCCTCCGCCATCAAGCTGCTCTCTGCTGGTCGCCAGTCCCAAGAGTGAGGCCTGAAGGAAGTGTGGTAAACTGTTGCAATTTGTCCCTCTTCTGCTTCCTCTCTCAAGTGGTTAGGGCGGACATCCTCCCGTAGTGGGGATGTACCAGAGACGGTAGCTCTCCAGTGGTTGGTGGAGCCCAGACCAGCACCAGTTCTCATTTTTAGCAGCTGAGTCCCAAGGACTGTGGGGGATTGCGCAAGCGCAAGCGTAGCTGCTTTCTGTCGCTCTTTGCCTTGATTCCTATGGCGGACCTCCGTGGGAATTCTGAACACAGGGGCACGTGCATCGGTACTTTTCTGGTGACTGGAGAGTCTTTGATTTGCAAAACGGTGATGCTTGTAGCAATCAAAATGGAGTCACTTGTCAAGCCCTAACAAAAAAGGAAAAAAAATGAATTAATGAATAATAAATAAGTAAATAAAGGAGGGGATCTCATGCATACATAACTGATAAGAATATTCATAAAAGACTAGAACCACAACCTTACACACACAAACACGCGCACGCACACACACACGTGCACACACACATACACGCACACTCACATGCACACAGTGGTTATACAAATCGTGCCCAACAACCGTTTTATCTTGGACTAGCACAACCCTTTTGATTTTTCTTTGTAGCCTAAGTAGTTTCAAAATAGTTTTGTAATCCTCTTACATTGGGTGTGTGCATGTGTGCACATGTGTATGTGTGTGTATAATACAAGTATGTATGTATGGGTATATCCACATGCACAAACATGTGCAGGCATGTGGAGGTCATAGGTCAATGTCAGGCATCCTCTTCAGTTACTCACTGCGTTATTTCCTGAGACAAGGTCTCTCACTGAACCCCAAGGCCCTTGTATTTCTGTATACTTGAATCTCAGCCTTTCTTAAGTCAGCCCCTGTGAAGCTCACTGACTTGGGTGCATGAACCCACGTTGCAGTGCTCTGTTAGTCCCAAATAAAGAACATTAGATATCAGAGAATCCCTCTGTTTAGTCAGACAGAACCATATGTGTATTAAAATGTGCAGTGTGATTCTAAACAAAAAAAACTCTCCAAAAGTGTGTGTGTGTGTATGTGTGTATGTATGTGTGTGGTGTATACATGTTGGGCCTGTTGGCTGTATACGCCACACACACACACACACACACACACACACACACATATATGTCAAGGAAAATCTAAATAAGTGTTTATGCAGTGACACTATGGGAGGAAGGACTGTGGTGGTCTCACTTTATAGCAAGCTGCTCTTGATCTAGTCTCCTGAGGACCGGACCTACAGAAAAGCAGCGTTAGCCACTGGTGAGGGTGATGCTGCGGCGGATGCTTTGCCTCTCCCTGGGCTCCATCTCTCTGTGGTCCACCATTGTCAGGTGCCATTGCCTATGTGCAGGTTCTATGTGCTCACGCCTGAACACTTTACATGTGGACTTCTCTTCCACTTTGTCACGCCACTTTCCTTTTATTTAGTCCTTATGTTGATTTTATCTCAAGATCCTATGGGTGGGTAGTCCTGTGTAGAACAGGAGTTGGGCGGAGCCGGACTCAAAAGCTCTTTGCAGTTGGGCCTGTTGGCTGCATACCTTTCCTCATGGGAGGAGGGGGCAGAGAGGGTAAAGCTACCCTAGCTAAGGCTGCGCAATTCTTCCCTAATTGCAAGTGGCCTTGGGGTCTTGGGGGAGGGACTAGAGGATGTAGGTGGGGAAGGATAAAGGGAGGAGACTCCAACTACACAGCCATGGGAGAAGCTGCCATCCCTTTTGGGTGCAGACCTTCTAAAGTGTCTGGTTAAGGTTACCTACAGTCCTGCCTGTAAGCCTCCCCCATTGGCCTGATACAATGACTGGTTCCCAGTGAACTCTGGAGGAATCTCTCTGTGGTTTATCTCTGGGACCTGAGGGGGTGGGGACAATGTTATTTTTGTCTCTCCCAAGGAAGGGGTTTGGGCAACACACTGCTATTTACAGTTTCATTCCTACAGCTTCAGAATGGCCATTGGAAATGTGCTCTGTAGGGGAAGCGCCAGCCAATCACCTTGCTTGTAGGGTGGGGTCCCCTGAGGATATTTTTTACTAATAAATATTGCTGGTGTGCTCCCTCCCCCCCCTTCCCTTCGGCTTTCCTGTTCTCCGTTCTGTAAGTCTTTTCCTAATTAAAGCTGAATATTTTATTATAATTTCTGTCTGCCGTTCATTTACGCCGCTACAGTGGTCCAGAAAAATGGGGGGCCTTCCTTTGTTTTGGGGTTCAGCTGTAGCGAGGAACACAGCTGGAGGAAGACACCCATGAGTAAGTGGTCTGAAGAGGTGGGGGGCAGGAGGAGGCCCTGAGTCAGAAGTCCTCTGAGATGACCTGTACTGAGCGAGTGGGCTGTTTCTTCCACCCAGAATGTGGGCTTATTCCTATGTGGAGCATGCTTATTTCTGCCCATAACCTGTAGGCCAGGAGGGGACGTGGGTGTCTGTGTGAGCCTGGTGGCAGAGAAGCCAGATAATGTGACGTTCATGAAAAAAAATGTCATTTATAACCTCATGGATAACAAATCGTTACTCAGTATTTAGGAAGCGGAGGCAGGAAAATTAGAAAAAAAAAAAAAGTCCAGAGTTGTTTTCCTTGGCTCCATAATGAGTATGTGCTGGGTTACTGAGCTGGAGACTTTGTTTCAAAAGTAAAGAACATTGATGTATGAATGTAGAAAGGTCTATGCCAGTCACAGGGCACAGTAGACAGAAAATGGAAAGAAATTTTTCTTCTGTTTAGAGAATGTAATAATACCTATGTATTTATTTTCACATGCTTTTTTAAAAAAGTAATCATCTATGTATAGGGGGCATAAGGGTTCTGTTGCACCCTCTCAAAGGCCCCTTCTTCACACACTTGTAAGTGTATTTGTGAGCACCCTCTTGCAGGTTTCCTAGCCGGCTGTCCTAACCGGAAGTGGCTGCCTTATTGTTCTCCACAGCCTCCCCCTCCCTCCCTAGGAAGGCAGAGATCTGGCTGTCCTTGCTTTCTAGTACCGGCCACAAGCACAGCTTTCCCTGAAGCTGCGTATCTGTAGCGAACATACTAGAAGGAATATTTATCCTGGCAGCGGCACCTGGACCCTGCGCTGCGTTCCGTCAGGGCCAGTTCTCCAGTGCTCCTCAAATTGCTGGACCTGTCCTGGTACGGGATCTCACACCACTGCTCCGGGGTGCTGCGTGGATAGGATGGCCGCTTACACCTCCGCGGCTCCGGCCACATTCAGCTCTGCTCTTGGCTGCCTGGGCCACTTTGATGATCTTGGTGAACGGGAGTGATGCCCTTTATAGCTTTCACGGTCTTTTATTTCTCTCACTTCCTGTCTGAGCAGCTTCATGAATCCACAACACTTTCCTTCCCTGTGTTCAGCTGGGTGCATGTTAACAATGTTTGCCAATGACAGCTCAGGCTAAGTCTAGCTATGCTCCCAGTGCTTGTAATCAGAGGGTTCTGATTGTTTTCATGTAAGATTGTATTGAAAACGACATGATCTTACTCCAGTCTCCAGCAGAAATAGTGTAATGTCTTCATGATTATACTGTCGAGTATACAGCAGGGGTTACATTCTAAGTCCAAACAGTTGTGGTCACCTACAGGCCTTTCTCAAAATGGGATTTGTTGACAGGTGCTAGGTGGTGGGGAGAACCGTTAGACATTGATATGCGATTCTAGCCACTGTGTCTAGAATCTCTCGATTTCTACTGCCCCTTTCTGGGACCGGAGCAAAGACAGAGTATACTGAGAATAGAGGGCTGGTTAAAAGGGGGCACTCTATCAATACTGCCATGGGGAAGTATTCACACCAGCTGAGGTAAGATTTGGTGATGATGTTCTTTTGGGGTTGCTCACCCTCCTGTGGTAATTCCTTATGAATATGACTGTAAGAAAGAAAATAAAACCCAACAACTCCTTGGTTCACTGACCCATACTTGGATGGAATTATTACTTGGTCTTTGTTGATACCCTGCAACGGATAGACATTTGTGAATTTCCATAAGAAAAGTCCATGCAACAATGTGATTTGTTACTGAAATCTACAAAGAGCAAAAACCAAACCAACCCAAAATATCCCCCTGCCCTCCAAAGGAAAGTGTTAAATTAGCGAGTTATTTCATCAGATAGATTACAGGGTTGTGGCTTCTGGGACAGAAGAAATGAACACTCCCTGTTGCCTAGAGCCTTGCCATATAGGATGCCGCAGTACCAATTCTGCTTTAGATTTACAGGATGCTTATTTCTTCCCCCTCTCTCTTTGTTATAGGTTAGACTTCTTAGTGACACCCATGGCTGAGTTCTTTAGCGGTGACAGGAGGCAGTGGCTGACAGTACTGTCCCAGACCACTGTGGGACGGTGGTAGGCAGAGAGAGAGAGAGGAGAATGCGGTCTATCATGGTTGTCATGGTTACCCTGCTATCACCTGTTGTTCCTTGACTCCTCTGTGTCAGGTGTTTCACTCCCTCCTTTCTCCTTTCGTCAGGACTGACACTTGAAGTCACAGCACACCTTGTGGCATGTGTGGGGCTCAGTGCAGTGTCGTGGTGCACTACAGGTTGGCCTTCGGCCCAGGCTCATAAAGGAATGCATCTTTCCACATTTCTTTTTTTTTTTAAATTTATTTATTTATTTGTTTCGTATACAATATTCTGTCTGCGTATATATGCCTGCATGTCAGAAGAGGGCACCAGACCTCATTACAGATGGTTGTGAGCCACCATGTAGTTGCTGGGAATTGAACTCAGGACCATTGGAAGAGCAGGCAATGCTCTTAACCGCTGAGCCATCTCTCCAGCCCTATCTTTCCACATTTCTATTTATGATTATATGGACGGTGGGTCCTTTACACAAAACAATTATCCACCTCCAAGTAGAACTAAAAGCCCAAAGAAAGAATGACGCACTTCCTCCCCAGTGTCTTCCAGCCATTGTCACCTGTTTATCTCACTGGCCAGAACATTGCTCCTGTCTCTCGGTATCTGAATAAAATAGCGCTACTCTTGGCAAGAAGAAAGCAGGAGTGGGGTGAGATCAAAACACTATTGCTCCATTTACCCTCCCCCGTGTTCCATGTTAGCTTTTCGTTGCACAAGGCAATGCTGTCTTCCAAAGCCTTGGCCTTTGACCTATGCTAACAGTGTGTATAGCTATGTGTGTGTGTATGCATATGTATGTGCACATGTGTACATGAAGCTGTGTCTTAGATGGATGTTCCTGGTATCGCATCATGATCATGTGATGTGGGATTCCCCTCTGTATGCTGTGAATGACATTTGTTACTAAAGAATTTGCTTTGGGCCTACTGCAGCACAGAATATGGTAAGGTGGGAATTCCAAATAGATAGAGGAAAAAAGAAGGCGGAGTCAGGGAGAAGCCATGTAGCTGCCACAGGAGAC